GCCTGCTCTCGGCTGCAGCTCATGCCAAAACTGAGCAAATTCCTGGGGGCTACAGTCCCCGCGGCTTCTGCCCCTCCCAGCTGCCCAGCTGGCTTCAATGGGTGCAGAACAAGTTGGAGCAGTTTTGCCTCCGGGCGGAGAGCAAAGGGGAGGCTTTGTTGGCTTCCTTCCCTGGTAAGAAAGAGGCAGGGCCTGGCTTAAGCCAAGCAGCCCCCAAGGAGACTCCTTTGCAAAACGATACTTTCCGTGGCCAGGGGTGGCATCCCCAGAGAGACAGGGCTGGCTTGGGAGCACTTCTGATAGCTTTTTCCAAAGGGAGGAAAGCGGCAAACAGGAGATGCCGTCCTTCTAAGAAGCACAAAGTTGTTGGGGGCCGTTCCTTCCGAGGGAAGAAGAGGAAGAGGAGAGGAAGGGGAAGAGGAAGTTGCCAGGGCCAGGGACCCCAAGGGGGGCAACCCAGCTCCCCTGCAGTGCTCTAACTGCGCCCTTTTTCTTCCAGTGTTGTCCCGAAAGCTGCGTGAGTTCCCAAGCGGGGCTTCCCAGACATTGGCTGGTGCCCCCCAGCCAGCAGAAGCGCCGACACCCCCCTCCCGTCCTGGGTCCCCCTGGCTGCTTTCACCAGAGGAAGCTCTGTCCCCCAAAGCTTTTGGGGCTGCAGGAAGCCTCAACGCGTCCCTGGAAGGTCCACCGAATGCCCTGGAGACTGCGGGGGGGCCCTCGGCCAGCAACGGCAGCTCCTCCTCGGATTCCCCTTCCCCTGCCTTGGAGGGGCTCCTCCTCGCCCCCAAGGACCCTCCGGGGAAGGAGAGGGCACTCCCACCCGCCTCTGTCGACCAGCCTGGCCGGACAGAGGGTGCCAGCAGCGTCATCCTGCAGCCCCATCGCTCCGATGAAATGTGAGGGCTTCCGGCTGCTTTGCCTGCAACATGTAGATGCCGAGATCTGGAAGGGGAGACTGCTCGGAAGGGGAGGGGGGCTGCTCAGCGACAGAGGCCTTGCCCTGGCAGGGCTCCTCCGACGGGGGCTTCACGGGCCACCCCAGGCTCCGAAGAAGGGCCGCTGCGAGCCCCAGTAGGAGATGCTCTCTGCCCCCCTCCTAGGCATCTGCCCTGCCTCTCTGGGGGTCCCCCCACAGCTAGCATGAAGCAAGGGCCGGGGTTGGCCCACCCCAGAGCGTGAGGCTGGGCTGGAGAGGACGGACGCTGAAAGGTTTGCTCTGGTCCTGCTTCGTGTTGTGTTCCTGTACAGGGCAACCAATAAATGGCTCTCCACTCCCTCTGAAGTGGCCTGGGTCCTGCCCAGCTGCCCCTCGTTTCCCACGGGTGGATTGTGCATGGCCGCCTTAGGGGGGCTGCCTCCAGGACCATCCATCCCCAGCCTTCTCCCTGGGGTGTCCCCATCGCCACTGGGACTGTCCCCAGACTTGTGGGCGGTCTTTGTCCCTCTTCCAGCACCTAGCCTTCCGGGCGGCCTTCCTGGGGGCCAGCTGAGCCTGGCAGGTGCTCCCTTGCGGTCCTTGGGCCAAAGGGGTGTCACCTGGGCTGCCCCACCGGGCTGGCTTGTGCTTCGGCCTGTAGCCGTCGGGCCTTCCTGGCTCTCCGGGTTTGCCTCGCAGAGGCACCCAGCACCCAACCTAACCCACAGCTTGGCCTGCTTTGGGTTTCTGTGGGAACTCAAGGAAAGGGCTCAGAGTTTGGTTTCCAGCCTCTTCTCAACCCTTGAATGCTGCACAACACGGGAAGGACCCCCAGCAGAAGCAGCCCCATGCGCGCCTGCCTGCCTGCCTGCCTGCCTCTGGCGAGCGCCCCCATTCAGAGAGTGCGTGGGAGGCGGGTCACTCTTCTCCGACAAGAGGAGTGGGGGGGGCTGCTTGTCGGGGTGCAGAAGGCACAACATGGACGGGTCTGGCCCTGCCTGGGAAGGCCGAAGGGGAGAGCAGCCTGGGAGGGCACCTTGGAGGATCTCCTTCCACGGGGCAAAAGGCCAGGCTTTTGGGAGAAATTAGGGCTTCATGGCTTGGGACAATTGGGCCAGAGAACCCGGGACCGCCCATGGCTGCATGCGAGGGGTGGCTGTGGGGGGACATGGAGGAAGGCCAGCAGAGTTTTAGGCTGCCAAAGTTGTGCTCATCCGGAGTTCAGGTGTGTTAAAGGAAAACTAAGGAGAAGCGGCCAGAAGCTTTTCCAGGACAGAAAGGCTAAGGGGGAACTCCCTAGATCAGGGGTGTCAAACTCACTCCCCCCACCACCACTAAACCGGGTGTGGCCAGCCTGTGACGCATCGTGCGGGGTGGGGAGTTGACAGCCCTGCCCCAGGTTTTGTTTAAATGTAGGGAAAGACTTCCTGGTGGTAAAGATTTTCCACAGTGGAGCGGCCTGACGGACGACGTTGGCTTCCCACACCCGGGAGGGGTTTAAGAAGAGGCTGGGCAGCCAGCCCTTGAGGAAAGCTTCCTACCAACCCCCCTCAAGGTGACTAGGCACCGGTGCCAGTTGGCAGAGGCAGCTCTCGGGGCTCTTCTGGAAGGCCAGTAGAGGAGGGCCCTGCCTCACTTCTGGGGGCAAGGCGGCCCATAAAGCGGGGGCAGCAGCAAAGAAGGTCACTTGGGGTTCTTGGCCGGGGTCACAGCACGCCCTGCCTGCCCGAGTGCTATGGGCTGGCGAAATAGGCATGGCTCCTCAGATAACGTAGTGCTGGCCCAATGAAGGGCTTTGAAGATGATAACCAACAGCTTGAATTGGACCCGAGAGTAAACTGATGCCCAATGGAGTCACTTGGCAGAGGGGTTACATGTGTGACCCTTGGGGCACCCAAAACTGCTTATGCCACTGCATTCTACATCAGCTGCAGCTTCTGGGCACTTTTCAAGGGTAGCCCCCCCAGAGCACGTTTACAGTGAATATGGGTATGTGTGTGTGACCAGGGCATGAGTGGCTGAAAGAAGGGACCCTCAAATGAGGATGGGGTGCGACTGATGCACATTGCGAAATTGAGCAAGTGCCTTTCCAGCCACCTCTGCCACTTGCTCCTTGGGCAGGAGCCACACATGCCACACACACACACACACACACACACACCCGATTATGCATCAGGTCTGTCCCAGGCTGAGCAAGCTCTCCCAGGACCAAAGACGGTAAACCCCAGACACACAGCGGAGTCCTCTGCCTACAGCCACTTCAGCTGAAGCCTGTTGTCTCCCCGCCTGCAAACCCAGCAAGAGAACACCCACAGCAGCTCTTACTTTGCCTGAGATGGAGATGCCCGCCTGAGTGCCACCCACCTATTCGTGGTAGCTCACCACGTGGTCTCACCCAGCAGCAGCAGAGAGAGAAGAGGCACCAGACTCCACGACACCCCACAAAGCAGGCTGCATGGCGGGATTTTTCACTCCCTATCGGCTCCAATTGGGACCAGCTTCAAGGTGATGGATGCCCCACAACCCAGGAGCAAAACAGAACACACAGAGACTTAGACTTTTAACAGTGGTTTATATACAACAGTTATATACAGAAATATATGTGGTAGGCAAAATACATTTCAAGCAAACTTCTTAGCTAACTGCAAAGAATATTGGACATGAGAGAGAACCCTGCCCTCTAATGCCTGCAATATATAAACACCTCTTAAAGGGATCTTTAAATACCCATGCTATGCTGAATGACCGCTTATTACATCAGCCGCATCTGGCAGCTATTCACTGCTGGTCGGCTCTTAAATCTCAAGACCTTAACAAAAATCAACCCCAACCGTGGCCCAAACAGGACCCCTCCCTTCTCTGTTCCAAGTCCTCCTCTGCTCCCTAGCCCTACACAAGGGCAGCCGGGCCCCTCCTGGTTTGTGAGGGCCGCTTGGCAGGCAACCCTGAAGGAAATTATCAGGTGTGCCCTTCTTTTAGAATTGTTTTATTGAAGTCTCTTATAGTATAAAATAGGGAAAGGGGGTGCAGGATAAAAGAAGCAGCAGCAAATAAAAGAAGCATTGACTTCTGACTCTTTCCAGTGCTAGAGACAGGTACAGTCCCATTTTTTTGCATTGCATTTCGTTACTACAGACCATTTCTATCCCTACAGCATTATCCAGTTTTCAGACTAAGGTCTAAGTTGAAACCCTCTCGGAGATGCATCCAGCCGGATTGAGGGTGTGGCACTTGTCCAAAAGCTCTTGGTGCAATCATGCTGGTCTCTCTTGTTTTTCTTTCTTTGTGGTGTTGCTTCTGGAGGCCTTTAGTATTTTCTTTTTCAGAATATCCCAGGCATCCTGATTTCCTTCTAGGTCCATGGAATCCTTCCTAATGTCTTGGTTTGTTGAAGTCAACTCTTTTAAAGACTAAAATACTGGCCTGACTTTGTTCAGTCACCTTTGCCTACATTATGGTGAATTCTAGTTTGAGATGATCATTCTCCCTCAGAGTTCCCGTAACTTCCACTCCCTCAACCATGTCATCCCTTTGAGTAAGAATTAAGTCCCTCTAGTTCCCTCCTCCACCTTTTGTAGGACAAAGATGTCAGCCAGGCAAATCAGGAGCCTGTTTGGCCTCCCCAATAGCTGCAGAGTTGGTTTCCCAGTTGACCCGGGGTAGTTAAAACCCCTGGTTCCCACAATGTGTTTCCTGCAAACCTCTGCTAACTGATTGGCAGAGTTCATCTATGACTTCTTAGTTGAGATCTACGACAATGCCATTTCTTTCTTCCTTGATATTCAAATACTTCCAAGAAGGCTTTCATCCCGAGTGCTGTGTACTTCTGTGGAGGAGGAGTAATTATTTACATTCTATCTTGTATCATACATCCCAACAAGAAAGAGGGGAGAGGGGAAAAGGGGGGGTTTTCTAGTCCAGTGAAGAGAAGGACTGGGAGGGACATGAGAGCAGTCGCCCAATATTTGAGGGGCTGCCACAAAGATGGGGGGGGGGGTATTTTCCAAAGCCCCTGAAGGCAGGACAAGAAGCAACTGATAGAAATTAACCAAGGAGAGATCCCGCCTAGAATTAAAAAGAAATTTCCTGACACTGAGAACAATTAACCAGTGGAACAGCTTGTCTCTGGAAGCTGTGAATGCTCCAACACTGGAAGTTTGTAAGAAGAGACTGGACAGCCATTTGTCTGAAATGGTAGAGGGTCTTCCTGCTTGAGCAAGTGGTTGGACTAGAAGACCTCCAAGGCCCCTCCCAACTTTGTTAATCAGTTGATTAAGTAAGCGGAATATGGAAAAGAATCTATCAGCCTTTATCACTTCAGTCACATCTTTGAATCTGGGAGACAACATAGCACTCTGGAAAAATTGTCTAGTCTACAAATTGATGGCTGTTTTAACAAAAAGGTTAAGTAGAAGTAAGTCTGAGCTCCTGATAAAAGCCGTCTTCTTCTGTTGAAAAATAGTCTTTCGCTCACAAAAAGTTAAATAAAAGTAAACCTGAGGCCTTCTGATTAATTGATCCCCCAAAACGTTAAGGAAAAGCAAAGCTGCACGCTCCTAGTTTCACAGTCTCCTGATTCAAATTAGTATTTTGCTCCCTCTTGTGGTTTGTGTCGGAATAACCCCCAGGAATAACGAAGCTAGGCAAATCACGTGATCGTTTCAACCAATGGGATCACGCCTTTGTCTAAAACTTTCTAAAAGTTTATAAGACAGAAATAAACAAAAACCATTAAAGGGGAAAAAAAGAAAAATCACAAGGAAGGAAATAATTCAACTCATAAGAAAGATTTCCAGCCAACAGAAAAGCAGAGCCTCCTCCTCCTCCTCTTCTCCTAATATTTGGAATAGACTCTCCTGCTCGAGCAGGGGGTTGGACTAGATGGCCTCCAAGGTCCCTGCTTCTGCATGCACCGCGCCGCCGTTCCTCAACCTTCCTCCTCTTCCTTCCTTAAGTAAAGTGGCGGCGGGGAGGCGGGGACGGGCACGAGAGGGGAGAAAGATCCTTCGGCTTCTCACCGGAGTTTAATGATTTACCGGCAGAACTCCGGGGCTGATTAATTGCACCACCGGGAGCGAAAGACACCCCGCAGGAAGCAGCCACGAGCAGGCGGCCGGTTCCCTCCCCCCCCCCGCCGCTCCCCAACAGCTGCCCCGCAGTAGCTCGGGGTGGGGGCATCTTTCTGCAGAGTCTTGCAATATTGCTTGGCGAGTGTTGCGGTGGTGGGAATGGGAAGCGGCCGGACGTGCGTGTCGGCAGGGCCTCCCAGTCCAGAACGGGACAAAAGGTCTTATCTGGGCGAGAGTCCTCCTACCCACGGCTGCCACCGCTTCCCCCGCCAGGAGCCACCTCCCAATTGCACACCGGCCCTGTGTAGGAGTACTTTTAACGGTAACAAGATTCTCCAGTTTCAGGGGAAACCCAAACCGCTCAGAGCCCCTCTGCCTTGCTAGGGTCGACTCCCTGCCAAACCCGCCCCCCCCACTCCACCCCCACTGCCACCGGGCGCGAGAGAAGCACCTGAGTGACACCACCTGTGGTATCCTAGGGCAGAGAAGCTCCAACCAAAGCAACAAAGAGCCCCAAGCTGTCCAGTCACTTAACCAGGAGCCTTGGGGGTGTGTGGTGGAACAGTAGAGGGGAGGGGGGGGGGCGAGGGCTGGATGAGGAACATAGTGCCCCCCTCCCATCCCCCAGGGTCACTCCAGTAGGATAACGTGGCTGATGGTATGAGAAACCTCAGGGAGATTTGTGGGGGGGGGGGCAGGAGACCCCTCGATTTGAGCTCTTCAGAGATCTCAGGCTGCCTCAGTGGCCGAATCAGGCCGGAACCTGTGCGCTTCGCTTGGTCTTTAGGGGAGCCAAATACCAAGCAGGGAGCCACTGTTCAGACTCTGGCATCATCAGAAAAGCTGGAGCCGTCAGACAACCAGGCAAGACCCTCAAGCCAAGCCAGGTGTGTGGAGAAGAGAGCCAAGAAGAGGCTCCGTGAGGCTCCCGGCCAAGCAAGGAAGGAACTCTCTTCAACTAAAGGCAACTGTCCCGGTCCATGGTTTCTGCGGGGGAAATAACCACCCGCTTGTTGTTGTCCCTGGGTGGCCTGGTCCTGTAAAACAGCCTGGAATTCTGGCTTTGGGTCAGTCTGATGAACCTGCTGTGGCTCTAAGTTCTCTTCTTTTGAAAACAAAACTCAACAGGCAGGCTTTCCTTCCAAGAGATTCTTACATTCCTTTCCCTGCGTGTTCTTTAACTCTTCAGCCTTGAGTAACTTACTATTGCCTCATGGTAACTCTGTGTGTGTGTGTGTGAGCGAGTGAGTCTGAGGTTTGAACAGTGGTCTCAGCACAGGCACTCTTTGTCCTGTGTGGTATATCCTGCTTCCCTTGTCTTGCTGGTCAGGAGGTTCAGCCTGGAAAGAGATGGATTTCCTGACAGCGGGATCAATCAAGGGAGCAGCTTGCCTCCTGGAGGTGTGGAAGCTCCACTGCTGGAGGACTTCAAGACAAGGTCGGACAACCCCTTGTCCAGGATGACCCCCTGCACATCATGGGCGACCAATTGTGATGACTCCCCCCCATGCTTCCCCTGATAACTCTCCAGATGCCAGCTGGGAGGAGGATGAACCAGTCCCAGGCACGTCTGGAGGGAAGGTGGTCAGTGGCGTCAGAGAGGGAATTGGCTGAAGCGCAGCGGGGCAATCCTGAGTATTTGAGGGCGGGGGGAAGCATGCCGCTGCAGCCAGTCAGAGATGAGAAAGAGGAAATCTGCCTTCCGCACCTGACCAAGGACAGGTAGGGCAGAGAAAAGGCAGAAACAGAGAAGATCAGCCAGATTACTGGTGAGGTGGCGGCCTCAGTCCTTCTGGATGGGCTGCGTTAGAAGCTGGCTATGTAGCATGGCAGACAGGCGGAGCCCATGCTAGGAACAACGTGTTCATTTCCTATCTGCCTATTTCTTGGTTGCTGTGATTCCTGCCTTCCTTTGGATTGACAGCGTGCCTTGACTTTGGATCATGCCTTGTGAACTCTGGACTGTTCTTGCCTCGTGAATCCTCTTATGTTGTGGATTTAGTTTTGCTTGGTGGGTTTATCTGGTAGATACCTCAGCAATCATCCATCAGGATACTCTCACAGTTACTACCGTACTGTCGAACCAGGTACATTCTATGGATAGTGCCCAATGCTCAAGTCTGCCAAGATCCTTCTGAATCTTGACTCTATCATCTAAAGTGTTGTCTATTTACACACACACACACACACACACACAAGCTTCCTGTCGTCTGCAAATATGATGAGTTCCCTTTCTATCCCCTCATCTAGACCACTGGTGACGACGTTGAAGAGTGCCAGGTCCAAGACCGAATCTTGAGGTGCCCCATTGCATGCCTGGCTTAAAGCTTCTCTTGGATCCAATCAGAGCAACCTGCTTGGCCTCATTTCCATGCTTACACCCTCCTCAGGGCCATCCATGCTTGTGGAAAATTTTCCTTTCACCCCCCCCCCCCCATCCTGCAAAATGATTTCAGTGCATTTGTGTTATACCGCAATAATCTATCAGCAAGGAATCCATGAATTCAGAGGTCATGGCCAAAATGGGATTAGCACACCTGGTCTCTCTCCCCAAATGACACTGCTTAAAGGAAGGGACCCCGAGGGTGCAACTCTGTCTAATCTGGTCCAATGGCCGAGATGGTTGGGGTCATAGGGCTTAACAGGGGACCCCCAACAGCTGGTCCTGTACAGAGAACCACTGAGAACCAGTTCAGCTCACAAAGTAGCAAGGTGCCCTGGCTCCACCCGGACAGGTCTGTAACTCCTGGCACTGCTGCCCTATGGATTGGCTGCAGGTTCCCAGCAGTCCTCCAGGGCAACAGTTGTGTTAAGGGCAGGGCAGTTGAAGAGACAAGAGGGGGCCAAATCAGGAGTGACCACAAGAACAGCCTCCCTTATGCCCCTGAGGTCTCCTGAGGTCTCCTCGAATCAAGCCTGTCTGCGTGTTGAAAGCACCCTCTCCCCAGGACTGAGCCAAGCCAAGCTAAAATAAGGGAGAAAGTACCAGAAAAGGGCCCTTGAACCCCAGAGTTTGCTTTGAACCCACCCTCCTACCCAGTATCTGCAGGAAGCCTGCAGACTGGCACCCAGGGAGCTTCTGAAAGAGCAGGGAGGCTGAGGCTGCTCAGGAAAAGAGTTTATTGGGGAAGAGCGGCTGATGGGGAGGAAGGAAGGCTCCCCCCCCAAGGCAGGAACCGTGGAAGCCTTGCTCTCTTCACCCTCTCACTTGGTGCGGTAGAAAGTGTCCGTGCCAACCCTGCAATGAAGCAGGAAAATTTCAAAATTCATGGTGGCATCACTGCTGTCCCCCCAGACTGAGCATGCTACCCCCCACCCCATTCCCTCCTTCCATCCACTCAGGTGACAATGGAAAGGAGGGGGGAAGGAAATGGACACTGCTGCTTCTGGGGTGGGGGGCAGCCAGGGCTGGGAGGGTCCTCAGTCACACATTGCAGGCCACGTCTGACGGGGAAAGGGCGAAATCTCCTGTGTCTTTCTTTGGTGGGCCTCCCTTGAAGCGGTTCCCGAGGGCCCCGAGGAGGGGAGGTGAAGGGCTGCAGGCCTTGTGTTGGGGAAGCCACCCTGGTTGCCTCTTGGCCCCATACAAACATGGGGGTTGTGCTGGCTACCTTTCCCCAATTTGAGTAGTAGAGCAATTAATGCCAGCTTTCTGCGTGTTGCCAGCTTGGGCCCACCAGACAGTGATGCCACCCACTGAGGACGACCTAGGGAACCTCGTCAAAAGCTTTTCTGGGTCTCTTTGGGGGGGAGGGGGGGAGTGGCAGAAACCACGTCTAGTGGACTAAAAATGCCAGCCTCTCCTGTGGGAGCTGCTCAGCTCTGGGTGCTGAAAGGACCCTGAGAGACACAAACCATTGGTGCATCCTTTCAAGAGCCGACTTTTTTGAGGGAGGGGGAGAGAAAAAGAAGAGTCCCCCCGCAGCTCTTCCACTTAGATTGCAAAGCAGTTCAGCCCCTGGTTTCTCTTACCGGGTTGCCCCCCAATCCTCTGCCACGGACTCCACCTCCTCACGCAGCAGCCAGGTGGTCTTCAGCTGCTCCTCTCCGTCCCCATCCTGGAAACACTGGCCCACAAAGACGGCGATGGACTCTGAGAGAGGAATCGGGCCGGAGACTCACTGGCAGGTAACATGGGGGTGTAGCATGGGGGTGGGGGGTGGGGTGGGCTGTAGGTCCCATAGATCCACCCACCCAAATAACTGACTCCACGCCCGTGGCACCTGGAGACTCAAGGAATTTTATGGGCTCCGAAGTGTTTGGGCAGCTCCAGCTAATGGGGAGGAGGGAACATTCAGTGAAAACACCTGCAAAGGCAGATCTAAGGAAGGGGAGATCCAGTAGATTCCCTCCTCCCATTCTATTTGATTCCAGTCCAAATAGTGGGTGGCTCTACCAGAGAAGCTCCAGTTGACGGTGAAGCCGAAGGTGGGCTGGGCTCGCTGGTCCACCTGGTGCTGGACGCCCTGCAGAGGGGATGGCCGGATGGTGTTGTCGGTGGCAGCCATGGCCGTCAGGTAGGAGCCGCTGAACACCCCGGAATTATCGCTGTCGGAGATAACCATCTTGGAGCCCTGGTTACTCACCCAATTGCCGGCCAGGGCGCACTAAAGGAGGGGGAGGAAAGCAGGTCACGGCGCTGGGCGAGCCAGGCTGTCCAGCAGGTAGAGAGTCTGCTTGACTCCCTTTTCTCCGGGGGTCTGAAAACTCCCGCTGCTCCCACGCGCCCGATCCCCCGGGCTGCCCACGCCGGGAGGGCCGGCATCCCGAAGCCCCCTCGGTCGAGGCGCCTGCCATCTGCCCAGCGAGCAGCCTGCCGAAGTCGCGGCAGAGGAGCAAACGCTCGGCCGCCCGGCCGCCGTCAGGGACCCAGAGGCTCTGGCGCTCGGCGCGACTGGACCGGGTGCGACCCACCGCGAGGGAGCGGCACCCTCTGCGCAGCACCTGCGGCCCACCCCAGCAGAGCCTGGCAGCGGGAGATTTCCACGAGGGAGGCTGGGACCCTCTGCCCGCCACCCCGCCTCTTACCTTCCGCGGGAAGCGCTCCGAGTTTCGGGGTTCGGCAGAGATGCCGGAGTAGCCGAGCAGGAGAGCGGAGAGCCCCAGAAGTGCTGTGCCCATCGCCATGGTGCTCTCCAGGAACCTCGACTTGCCAGCCCCGGGCGGGATGGCCCCTTATGAAGCCCCGCTCACCTCCGCCCACCCCTCGCGGGAGGGAGGGGGGGGGCAGGATCCCCGCCCGAGGGGGCGGACGCTTCTCGGAAACCGCTGGTCCTTAGGGCGCGCGCTGGCCGTGACTTTGGCGGGCGTGGGCAGACGCTGGGGGTCCCCGTGGTTTTCTTGGTCTGCTGCCCGGAAAACGGACCTCAGTTTCTGGCGAAAACTGCCGCTCTGCGGGGCGAAGGGCCGGGCTGCTTCGCTCAGCTATTGGTCTCCGGGGGAAGCTGACCCTCGGAACCGGCCGCCACGCAGCAGCAGGCCCCGCGGTGCCCGTGGCGGCCCAGCCCTGGCTCACCCAAGGCGACCAACTCACACGGGGAGGTCCTGCAGCCTAAGTTTGCTTACAGGCAGACAAGCAACAAGGCCGGATCTAGCGGAGCCCCGGGGGGGCTCGGGGGCTTTGCTGAGCGGCCCGTGGCCAGAGCGGAAACAAGGCTCCGATCCCTTTGGCCCAGTCCCCCTTCTCCTCTCCCGGGCATTGGCTTCATGCCAGGAGGGGGGAGCCAAAGGCAGATTGCAAGGTTTTGAAGAAGCTTATCTGTGTGACCTTATGATTATTATGATCGTGCATCTCTTCCCACTAGGTCAGCATGTGAGCCAATTATCCTTGAGATCCGGTCAACTAACAGCAACATTCTGGCTTTCTGGGCCAGAAGTTCTGGCTGAGACGCCACCCTGTCGCCACTCAAGGGGGCTTCAGCTTGCTGTGAAGGTCGACCTCTTACAAGGGCACTTTAAGCCGCTCATGTGTTTTGGCGGGGTGGGGTGGGGTGCATCTGATAGGCTTCCCTTGAATGCAGTTAACCTGGGGGGAGGAGGGGATGGAAGAGAACTTACCGCCCCCTCCCCCGTTTCTCTCCCTCCTCCGTTCAGATGCATAACATGGCCAAAGTTTCCAGACAGAGAAACCACCAGAAAGGCATCCCTGCAGAAGGATCTTTGCAGGTGAGGGTTGAATTGTGGGGTCCTTGGTGGTTTCTGAGCTGGGTTGTTTTCTTGCAGGTGTTTCATGACCCAACTAGGTAACATCATCAGTGCTAGGAAGGAGGGGGTGGGGTTCTCTCACTTTATATTGTAGTGTCCTGCCCTCTCGGTCTTGGAGGCTCTTGCAAAATGCCTGCAAGAAAATAACCAAGCTCAGGCAGCACCAAGTGACCCAAAGGGGCAGCGAGAATTGTGTTGGGCAAAGGCCCGGGCTTGTTCGCAGGCTGCTGGGTAGCCGCATCAGTTGTAAAGCATTAAGTTGGTCACTGCGGGGGTGGGTGGGGGGCATCCTTTATTCGCTTTTGTGATTCTTCTTCTAGTGTCCATTAGGGAACACCCGCAGAGGCTTTTTGCAGGGCCTGGGCCGTCTGGCGAGAGTCTTCTTGAGCGCCACGTGTGCCTTGGCTGTCATTCAAGCATGCCTGACATTAAAGAGGGGGGAAATTGCCCCCCAGCCCCCTGGGGGGGGTGCACGGTGGCCCAACCCTGCTTCACCTAAAGCAGGGGTGTCAAACTCACGAGGCTACGTTGTCATGTGACGTATTAAAACTTTCCCCCCTGTGCTAAAATGGGGTGGGTGTGGCCAGCACGACGCAAATGGCCCAGGGGCCGCAGAGTTTGACACCCCCAACCTAAAGCGGCCAAATCACGTTGGGGATACAACAGAAGTTTCTTTGCATGCAAACAAGTAACTATGCCCCATGTTTTGGTCCCTCTCCCCACTTCCTCCCCCCACCAAAGAGCCCCCAGGTGGTGACCTTCCCCTTCCTCCTCTAAACTAGCACCCGAGTGACGTGGCCCCCATTCCTCCTCCTCCCCCCCCCAAGCTCTAAGCAGCCCTCCGAAGCGCTTGATGTGCGGAGAGGGAGGGGGAAGCGCCTGGCTGCTGCTCGTGGCACTTCTGCAGCCCCCATCTTCCTCTTCCTGGCATTGGATTTGTTTTCAGAAGGGGGGAGCCAATGCCCCCCCCCCCTCTTGGGCCATGTACTGCCCGCACGGCTGCAGGACCGACCCGGGACCTTTCTGCCCTCTGGATGGGGAACTAGCGCACTGCCGGAGAGGCGCCTTTGAACCGCAGCCAGCCGTGGCGCAGGAAAGTGGCAGAGGAGCGACCGTCCCGTCCCCTCAATGGGCTGTCTGCCCCCCACCCCACGGCTTTCTCTCCAGCTCAGTTCCTTCACCAGAAGCGCCCTTGGCTTTGCCCAAGAACCCCACGCCCAGGCAGTCCCTCAACTTGACCAGGCAGCCACAGGGCCCCCCAGCAAGAACCCCACTTCCCTTAATTCTTGAGGACGTCTCCTCTGGGGGGGGGGTCTTATCGCCCCCCCCCCAAGGGCAGGGCTGGATGCAGGTGAGGTGGCGCCTTGCAATCAGAGGTTGGCCTTTGGGCAATGGCGGGGCGTGTGTGTGTCTCTTTCTCTCTTCTGGGAACAGCTGCGACTCCCCTTGGTTCACGCTGTCCCCAGAAGGGGTCTCTTCCTGACCCCTCGGACAGTCCAGGTGGGGCAGCATTAAGATTGGCTGCATGGGGTCTCAGCTCAGCCTGCAGGGGCTTCACCTGCCCCCTGTGCCTTTCCTGACCTTCCAGGAAGGTGGGGCTCAAGGCAGCCGAAGCCCTGGGCGGAGGCCGAGCAATGTGGCACGGTTGCCAGGAAGCTGCCAGGGTGCCCAGGGCCCACCCTGAGGCCAAGCTTTCCAGGAGGCACCCAGCAGCTCCTCCTCTGGGAGGGTCACTGAGAGATCCTCCGCTCCCACCCTGGGGCCCCTCCAGAACCATCGACCCCCTGCTCCCGGGTGCCAGAGGGCCACAGCTCAGCCACGCCTGGAGGCCCAGAATGACTGCAAGGCCAGGGCAGGCAGGGGTGCCCATTTCACAGGGCAAGGAGGAGACGGAGCTCCGTCCTCTGCGTGTGTGTGAATGAGCCCAGGGGAAGGAGGGCCACCCAGAGGCTCATAGGTGGTGGGAAAGGAGGAGGACCAGACTCTGGGGCAACGTGAAACCCTGTGGGACTGGCCAGCCCTTTGCAGGGAAGTTGCCCCTTGCCCAAGCCCAGCTCCCAGTGCCCCCTCCCAGTGGACGAACACCTGTGCCCGGGCCTGGCAGAGCGATTGGCGGAGCGATTGGCAACACGGCTGCAGCAAACCCCCTGCCCTGGGAGATGGAGAGAAGCAGCCCCCCCCCCGGGGAAGGACCAGGTCTGCAAGGTCTCCTTGATCAGCCTAGGCCGGACCTGGGGCACCCCGGCCCCCTCCTGCCTTTGCAAATCACGGCCACCAATGAGGGTTCTGCAAAGCTTTCTCGCCAAGTTCCATTTATTTTAAATTAAAATTATTCAGCATCTAAAAATAACTTCAGATTATACAGAACGTGATTGTGTGCAAATCAAAGGGGTGGGTGTGGGGGGTGGGTGTTGAAGATTGAAGAACGCCAAGACGTCTAAACTGCCCCCTTGCCCAGCAGCTCCTTCATACCGCCCAGGGCAGACCGGGTGGCACCCGAGGGGTGCCAAGCAGGAGCCACAGCCTGCCCCTCCTCCCCTGGCTCACTTGGCCACAGGCAGGGCGGGGAAGGGCTGCCCTACTGCCGCCCGCCGCTCCAAGGCCAGCTGCATGCTCCAGATGCTGAGGGGGCGCATGTAGGCCAGCGAGCGGAAGACCCTCCTCTGGCAGTAGGCCTCGGGGGTCTGGAAGGCCATGCCCAGCCGCTCCCAGACGGTCCGGTAGCAGCCCTCGGCGGTGCAGAAGCCCTCTTGCACCAGGCCCTGTGCTGGGCGAGAGGAAGCCCAGTCCGTCAGTCAGGCTGGCAGCCCGCACCCGCTCCCCTCCCCCCGGGGCCCCCGTCACCCACCTCCTGGATCATGGTGGCGGCCAGGGCGTACACCACGCCCACCCACACCTCGTCCGACTGCAGGCTGGAGGTGTCTGGCAGTCCCGAGGGGCGCATGCCGTTCACGGCCCCCATGGCCCCTCCCGAAAAGCCCAGCACGTTCAGCTCAAAGATGGTCTTCAGGGCGCTGAGCACGTGGCTGCGAGGGAAGACCTGCAAGGACCGAGGGGGACTCGTGGAGCCCCGCCCCACAGCCCCTGCCCCCCAAGGCCCCTGCCCCCTGCTCTCACCTCGGATCGCCCCTCGCCCAACCCACACGCCCGCAGGAACCACTGCCCGGCCAGCTGGTCCGCCATGACACTGTCCGAAGAGGGGCCGCGGCCGCTGTCGTAGTTGTAGTACTTCCCTGCAGGAGAGGAAGGGGCAGGTGGGTGCCGGGGCTCTTCCCAGCCCTGCTCGCCCGCCGGCCCGGCCCAGACCTACCGTTCCAGAGCAGCCGCTCAAAGGCTGCCGTGCCCTTAGCCAGGATGTCCGAGTACCTCTCCAGGGCCGGCCCGTCCGCCAAGGCCTCCGCCATTCTGCACATCACACAAACGGACGCCAGCCAGAGGCCGCCACAGTAGGCGCTGGCGGAGCAAAGGGGAGGGGGGGTTTCCCAGAGGGAGGGAAGAGAGGCGCCTGCCCACAGCCCCTCCCAACCGGGGAGGGTGGGGGGCAGGGAGACCCACTCCTGCGTCCCTCAGAGGGGTGACTGGGCACTGGGAGCTGCCCTCTTCCC